TTTTTTTTCTGTTTTTTTATGTCTCCAAATGTTCGTCTCTACTTTCAGACTTGGATTTCCGACATGTTCGCCAACAAAAAGATGTGGTACTAGACCGACTTGAGCACTTGTTAAAAGGCGATGATGCGAATGCTGATAAGAGGGTACACGATCAAAAAGCCGACATCCGCACGTTGTTGCTGTTTGCGGGTGAAAAAGCTGCACAACTTGCAGCTGCTCAGGTGAGGAGTCAGTTATCGTGTTTCGTGAGGTAGTCTATGATCCACGATTACGTATTCATGCCGTTTCGTGACGAGCTTAAATGTATAGCAGGCGCTGAACAGATTACGGGACCAAAAATTCTTCCAAAGCCATTCCATCTCAACCACATTTCTGCTCAAATTCCGCTTTCGTTGCGACAAAAATGTTGATGTCGGGATCTACTATACAGCAAAAAATATAGTTTGTATTTTAAGTGTGCACTGAATGCACTCGTAGCCCCCGGTTCTGCATACAAAACATTATTATAGATATCCTTATGATATTGTCAAGAAGGTGCAGTCTTTAGTATGGAAAGTAAGCTCGGAATTATTTTGTAAGGGCTAATGTAAAAGCTGGGGTAAGAACACCAGCTAAAATTTTTATAAACGAGAACTTTTTTTGCCAAGTAGCATGAATTACATTGTTTTCGGCATCTCTGTGATTAAGTCTGACACATGATCGATTCTCGATGAATTTAAGGATGCTATGATCCAAGTTTCCGATCAGCTATTCCAATTCTACTCGCAAATTGTACAAAATCAAGGTCTCACCTCGGAGAAATCCGTCATCGAGGTATGTACATGCTTACGAAGCGTTTTTCAATCATAGTTGGAACTAGTTCTGTACTTCATATCTTTCTCAGATCGTGAACAAGCTAAGGCAACTTGCGCGTGAAAATGCGGAGGATTTGCCGAAAGTCTCACTAGTTGACGAAGGAGTGGAAAGTGGAACAGAAACCGACACAAGTGGTGCCAAGGGAATTCCACTCAACTCGGACAGAGCTGTAAGTAATGCTTAGGAGTGCATATATATCTGTTTGTATGTGCAAATACCTAGAGTTATTCGCTTTGATAAGTTTTGAAATTGTGTAAGCATTTCAATTCGGAATCTCATCTTTTGATAGGGAGCTTTTTGATAGTTCATTTTTTCACCCTTTAATCAATACTGCCTCCTTTTCTGAGTTATGCCAACTCTTTTCTTAGCTCATAAGACTTAGATTGTTTTTGAGATCATTTCTGAAAGCTTTTCATGGTTTTCGTTTTCGTGAATGTATGCCATCAGTCTGTCATAATTTTTTATTCTCAGCAAACCTGTCTGCTTGCAAGCATCGAATTCTTCTGTGTCAGATATATATCATCTTGTTTTTAGGTCCTTGCCCCATCATTCAT